AAATATTATTATTTTGGTTTTCAAAATTTTATGTTGAGCATATGTAATCATATTCATATCAAATACATGAAAATTATCATTCTTTCGTTTGTCCGTATTTAACTTCATTGGGGTTTTATATAGTTTGAATCTCAACTAGATCATTAGCCAAGGCCTTAAATGATCAATAAGTTATACACAAAGTATTTTGTGTAGTATTTTGTCAATACTATATGATAAGTATATTTCTACAATGGATTCAGTGTTTAACTTTCTAATGGTTTCATGTAGTATTGTGGTTCTTCCATAGGGAAACAACTGATATCGCTAGCTGATACCCTTAAATCCCTAGAAAGTAGATTTGACATGAAATATTTGTTATAACAGATAAAAATGTAACCCAGTTTTGATTGGCTAGTGCTTTTCCATTAAACTTTATCATAGAAGTGAATGAAAAAATTGACAGCTAGCAGTATTTCAAATCAAATTTTTGTTGGAAAAAATGGATGATTTGTGTGGATATTTATCAATTAATATGATCAATTAAATAACATAAACATAATATTAATAAGTATAATTCAACTATAATATAAACATAAAATATAAGTAGAGAATTAGAAAACAAGTATTGAAGAGTCATGTCAATGACGCTGTCCAAAAGTTGTGTTGTCTCATCTTCGTGCATGTTCTTTCGACATTACAAGACTCCAAGATAAAACACATATGGTTCACAACTGGTTCTCTTTTTATGAAAGCGGTAATAGAGAGATAAAGAACGAACCTTTATCGAGTTGTCAAAATAATAGAATAGAAAATTTATATGGAGTATTGTCAAGTATTCTTAAGATACATCAAACAATAGAGTTTTTCATCTCTTTTACACCCCCACAATAATGAATATTTAATCCATTAAATTAGAAGTTACATACAAAATAATGGTGTTTTAATTTTGCATTATAATAGCAAATTAAAAATAAAAACTGCAATATTCATTTTGAATATTTGAAACTTCTTTTATATTATAACAATCCCCCACATGTTTTAAACTTTCAAAATAGATAATATATATTATATAATATGGCCACATAATACTGTGCAATAGGTGCAAATGTCTTTTCAACTTGAATCTCATTTAGTTAATAATTTTCATTTGAGGGAGCCATAATGGACTAAACCTTGAATTGGGTCCCTTTGGCCAAACTTCAACTGTTTCACACGTAGTATCGACTTAGGTTCTAGTTCATAGGAGGTAATGTTCTTAATGGTCATGCGCTCTAATCTTGATTCTAGTAAGAGTGTCTAGAGAATAGTCCAATCTCTTAGCCACGACCTCCGATAACTCTTATATAGGTTAGTCCTTCAAGGGTGTGTGTGATTCACACCTTGCAATAATTATTACATTGGTATTCATTCATGGTTAAACACTTCCTAACATCACATTATTATTAGTATTATCATCATAGATATGAGCACAAATAAAATAGTTATTACAAGTCAAGCAGTGTGAGTTATTTCTACCACATTGAACCTTCTTCATGGGCTCTCCAATCACAAATGTTGGGTTACTCCCGGGGGTGACTCCCTTAGGACTAAAATCCATCGTCTCGATGATTTATTTATGTCCATTACAGAGTATAATTTATTCATGTTCCTTTCGGATAATAATTTGATAACATCAATTTGCAAAGCTTTTATTCTTCGCCTGTACATCAGCATATATGAAAAATCTTCTAAAATTTCCGCGTATCTAAGTTTAATAAGACAAACACGCGAAATTTTTAATATTGATGTTTAGTAATACGTTTGAGGGAATGCATCTATTCAACTCTTGTATTTCACCTGCAATCTTCAGATTTAATATGAACACTATGCTCAAAAAGTCAATTTTACAATTAAGAATAAATATAATGTGTATCCATATAAAATTTTAAACACCCCCACATTTCAAAGATATACATTTTGAATTGAGTAAATATATGATCTTCAATATTATAATTAAAGCCAATTTCTTCAATTTGGGGCAAGCAAGCAATCAATGAACCAAAATATAAATCAGTTCCCATGGTTTCATGCTGGGGCTTGTTCTACCAAGGAAGTAATATGGAGCTTGTTCTTCCTATAATAATACAAGTTACTCACAGGAAAACAGCTCATCCACCCACCGTCTTGCATTATCGTCTGCTACCATGTCGCAGCAAACAGCTCGTCCACCCCCACCGTCTTGCAGCAGCGTCTGCTGCTGTGTCGTAGACGCTGCTGCGACACAGCAGCGCCTGTTATTTAGGGTGGTCGATGTCGACGCTGCTATCATAGCATCGCCGACGCTGTTGTGACTGTGATTTAGGGTGGCGATCGGCGCTGCTGTGACTGTGATTTAGGGCGGCAATTGGGAAAGGGGGAGGAGAAGGGAGGAGGAGAGAGAGCGGGGTTTAGGAATTGTGGAAATTTGGTGGGGAGCGAGGGTTGGTGTGGGTATATAGATTAATTTAATTTAAAATATTATAATTAATATTAATTGTGAAATTAAAACCTGATTTTTGATTAAATAACTTTAAAACCTGATTTTTAGAAAGGGAAAACTAAATAGATGGTTTGGTGTAATTTCCTCTAAATATATAGCACTATCTTTTGGTGTAATTTCCAAGACTATTGGATTTTTATTTCTATGCATGTAGGCTATAATTTATGACTTTGTTTGGCCCATTTATTTTTTATTTAATGAAATAATTATTAAAAAATAATGAAAATATGTTTAGAAAAAATCGGAAACTTAATATTAATTTTTAATAATGAAAATATGTTTAGAAAAAATCGGAAACTTAATATTAATTTTTGAAAGTATATATTTATACTATAAATTATTATTTAGTATGAATTTCTAGTTGGTTTTAAGTGACATGTTCTATTTTTTAACAATTTACCACTTAGTTATAATTTAACTATTTACATGTAATTTTTTGGGAAAAAAAATTGAAGTTTAATAAACATAACCATGTACCCATATCCCAAATTGAGACTCTTTTTAGTTATGTCCCCGTATCTTATATATTAGAACATAAAAGATGTGACTCTTAAATACGTACACATACACAATATTCGTACACATACACAATATTCGTACTTGAGTCTGAGCATCATAGATAATGCACCAAAAGCTTATACATAATCCTGGGGGTCAATCAATACCAAATTGGAGTGTGTATGTTCGGCGCAACTCCAGACTGCGGAAAGTCAAATAGTGAACCCCAACCCTTTTTCAAGTCGACCATTCAGAAATTATGTGTTGGGCTGTCTCAGTTTCTCTGACCTTAAACAGTTCAAGGCCATGTGGAATCTAAAACATTGCTGCAAAGTTTTATCAACTAGTTTCCAGTTCTTCAACAGCTCTTAGCGCTAATTGAGCAATTTTAATTGGAGTGTTCTGTTGCTAGCTATAAGGGTCTATAAATTGGTTGACCTTGGAAATTAACGCCAAAGAACATCCATTCTTAACTTTTTATTATTATTCTCTTGGTTTGATTATACAATAATCTTCAATGACTACAAAGTAACTTGGATATTGAACATGCTATCACGAATTATCTTAATTAAATAATCACTAGGTTTTATCAAAGCTGAATTAGTTTTCTTTGGTTTCATTCTTTCTTATATTTTATGTTTACCAGGGATTAAACATGCCACTAGTCCTTTTCGGAGTAGCACAATCAATAACTCTCCCTTTATGCCGCAAATAACCGCAAAAGGTTTTAAACTTGAAATAGCTAATAATCGCCTTTTTATAAATTTATTGACCTAAATTATTACTTCATAATATATATATTTTTATTGGTAGGTTTTATCAATTTATTTTGTAAAATTCTTTATTCTTTTAAGAGTTCGAAAAATATTTTTCTTTTTGGGTAAAAAAAAATAGCTCTAAAATTCACTATCTTTATCGTTTAATCAATACTTTACATATAAACTTTATCTTGTCTTGCTCGAGTTCATAAAAAATTTGAAACTTGATCGTACGTATATGATTTCACTACACCAGAAACTGCCTATGGCAACGCGCGAAAAACGTTGCCATAGACTTTTGGCAGCGTTCGGGTGCACGTTGCGTGCTTTGATGTTGCCGTAGAGTTCTAACTTTTGGCAACGTGCATTGAACGTTACCGTATGATCTATGGCAACGTGCGATGTATGTTGCCATAGGATCTACTGCAACGTTCACTGAACATTGCGGTATGATCTATGGCAACGTGCGATGCACGTTGCCGTAGATATTACAGCAACGTTCAATGCACGTTGCCATAGATCATACGGCAACGTTCAGTGAACGTTGCCGTAGATCCTACGGCAACATTCTCTGAACGTTGCCGTATGATCTATGGCAACGTGCATTGAACGTTGAACGTTGCTGTAGATCCTACGGCAACGTGCGACATTCTCTGAACGTTGCCGTATGTCATTTTACATTTTTTTTTAATTCTTTTATTTGTACAATGATTTACATAAATCAACCCCAAAACAAAATAGAAGATAACAATATCAAGTAACTCCAATAATCATCATTAACTGAACTCCAAAATGTAACAATATCCATACAAAATTCAGATCAAAAATTTTGAAACTTCTAAAAATCTAATACATTTCAAAAAAAAAAAAGAACGACCACAAATCCTTCCATCTTCCACACCAACGTCCTTAAATGCTACTCTCCATCTTTTACTGGTCTCTCGAATTGCAACGGCAATTGCGGTTTTTTGACGTTTGAAACTCTTGGAAGCTTGCTTAGTTGACTAAAAGAATTCAACATGAAAACCAAAGAGTGTTACAATTATTCTCGCAAGTGAACAAATATCTTGACAAGTATAAAAAAACACATTTACCTTAGCGTCGTCCATCGTACAGAGTATATTACTATCAACTGGTTCCAAAAAAACACTTCACCTATAAGTTTGACGCGCTCAAACTGATCCCGCAATGCGACAACAGCAGACTGAAAATCTCCACTTGGTTGAGTATGTCACGCCACTCAGCTATGTGCAACCTACTGATGATCCAGAAATGCCCATGAGTGTTCCAATAGCAACAAACACAACTCTAAATGGTGTCTCCAAGAAGCACAATGAAAAATAAATGATACTTATGGTAATATCCTTTTAATTTGCAGTCATTTTCTATTTTTATCAGTTTCTTGGCATCTCTTCTTACTCACAAAAAAGGGGGAGTAAGGTTAATTTGCTTAATTTAGGAGTATGGTTAGAAACACAAGGATTGTTTTGGTTATTAGAGGATTATAATCACGAAGAAGGTAAAAAAAAATCACCACAACAATCTTAAAACACAAACAGAAACTCAAACACTTGATATTACTAAAGGGATGTATTACAAGAGACTCGAGATAACTTGACTTGGTCTTGTCTGATGAGTTACAACACACAATGACTGAATTTATCGACGTCTTAGACCCGAGTTTACATTTTACAAAATTTACAAGACGAAAAATAAGATTCAAAAACATAGAAGAATAATTATATTTAAAAAAAAAAAAAAAACAATGCAGAAATTTTATCATTTCCTACTTTTTGCTATTGTATGACATAGTATCAAAATGCTCGTTTTTTTTATCCATTGTCTATAGTGACATCAATCTTCTATACTTGAAAAGCCATAAAAATGAGAAAAATATGACCCTACCAATGACTCCAGTGATCATCAGAACCCATTTGAATGCTCCTGGATAATCAAACATTGGTATTGCAAAGTTCATGCCAAATATCCCAGCAACAACACCAAATATTGCAACAACAAATGTTGCAGTAGTAAGTAAAAGCTCGAACTGTATCAGCTGGTTTCCAACATTATCCTACACTTGGATTTTCAAATTTGTATTAGCCCATTGATGGCTGAAGAACTCAGATGCTGGAAATTTGTTTTGACAGTCTATGGCTTTCGGAAGCATTAATGATGTTATTTGAATTCATCTCTCTTCAGAAATAACTCAATAAATAACATCATTAAATGTCACAACCGTTAAGACGGTTTTATTTTGGACTTTGACATGGATATAATAGTTGGAACATGTGCAAAAAAGCCACATAAAAACATGGGCTAGCGTTAGATCTTTTAAGCATGAAGAAAGATCCCATAATTTCATACATTTAAGATAGTTCACTAAAACAAATAAAGCACCCCACTTAAACATGTAACTGAGGTTCGACTAGAACACCTAGCTTGGCCAAGTTAAGGGGATGGGTTCCATTTGGTTATTTTGGGGTCAATAGATGACCTATTCAACCCAAAGAGTTCTGCTTACACATCAAACGATAATATCAGAAATATTTAATAAGTGACACATACCAGCTGAATGTTGATGAAGTCCTCTGTATCATCAATGTACTCCTTCAGCTGGAATTAGAGAAGAATATGAATTGAAAAACAGGTTTCAACGGGAGAGAAATAAAATTGGAGAACCCTTTCCAAACTCTCTCTGTGAATTACCTAGTTTGGGAATATTACAATTGAATCAAACTGAAATCTCGGGTCGAATTCCAGAGTGTTTAGGAAATGTTCTCTCTCTACGAGAGATTTATTTGAGTTCCAATAGATTGAATTCTAGTCTACCTTCAAGCCTATGGAACCTGAAAAATCTCTTGACTCTGAACCTGTCTTCAAATTCCTTTATTGGCTCTATACCTAAAGAAGTTAAAAATCTGGAGCTGCAATCACTAAAGATCTAAATCCCTAATGAAATCTCATCCAAACACACAACTTCTCCAACATCAAAATCCCTAAAAGCAGTGTTGAGTGCCGCAACTTACCTCTTCACGACGTCATCGGAGCAGGCGAGCAGCGACAACCAGGAGACCGAGAGAGCTCAGAGAGGAATGAGAGTTGGAACGGCAGAGGCAGTGCACGGAGCCGCGGAGCGTGGCTGCGGGAGAAATGGAGACTGGTGCCGTGAGTAGGTGTGGCCGTGTGTGGTGTGTCGGTGTGGGAGAGAGGACGGGTCACAGTAGGAGAGTGGTACGCAACAGTTTAGAGTCGGGAGAGAGGAAAGGGGGAGGAGAATTAGGTGAGGGTCATTATTTTTCTTTTTATATTTAATAAAATAAAAAGTAATGGCAACGTGCGGTGCACGTTGCTAAAATATTAATGGCAACTTGCATTTGAACGTTGCTAAATCTATTAATGGCAACGTACAATGAACACGCGTTGCTAAAACTATTAATGACAACGTGCAATGAATGTTGCAAAAAGGTTAATGGCAACGTTCAAAGGTATGTTGCTAAAACATCTAATGGCAATATGTCGTTGGTAATTCTGTTGCTAAGACATTTACTTTATAATTATAAATTTTTTAAAATATGTCGTTGGAAAGTCGTTGATAATTCGTTACTAATAGCAACGGATTGAGTTCGTTTGTAAAAATCCGTTTCTATAGAGGCAGTTTCTTGTAGTGGTGCAAAGCACGTTGCTAAAACTAATCTACGGCAACACGCATTGAACGTTGCAAAATGTTAACAGCAACGGGCATTGAACGTTGCAAAAACAAAATTAAAGACAACGGACCGCGAACGTTGCAAAAGGGTGCATTAGCAACATTCATTAAAAAAACGTTGTCAAAACTCAATTTTGTCAACCAATAGCAACATACACCTGCTGAATGTTGCCATAGACCCCTTTTAGCAACATGCAATTGATGAATGTTGTCTTTTGCATGTTGCAAAAGGCTTTTTTCTTGTAGTGTTTAAAAAATGTATTTTTATTACTTATTATTTTGAGTTGTATTAAATTATAATTTCATATATATATATATATATGATTTTTATGTGTTACTAATTTATATATTGATTGGAGATTCTTTTAATATAAATTAATTAAATATTAATAAACAATCTCGCTGTATTGGGTGGTAGTTTAATGAATGCTTGACGCTCCACTCTAGCTCACTGAAGCGGCTGAATTTGTCTGTGTTATCTGTTCCCTCTTTTTTTCGGTTTGATTCATAAAAAAAGGCTATCCACGTGATCCTTTTCCTTAGGTAATTTCGTACATAGGCCTTGTATGATTTTCATTATTTTCAAAACACATTTTTCTCTCTTCTTTTCAACCACATATTCTTTAATAAAATATTATTGCATGCAAACCCAAAATTTTTCTATTTTTGAACCACATATTCTCCATCAATCTACTATTTTAAAATACATTTTTAAGAAAAAAAATGGGGTTCAAACAAGTTCATAGTAGTCAGTTTCTTTTTTTTAAATTTTGAGAACCTTTGATTTCTTATTCGAGTTTAAAACTTCCCCATCTTTCCTTTAGAATTAACAATTACATATACAATTAGTTTACTATAAAAGATAGGTATCCTAGAAATAATGTATATTGTCTATATATTAACTGTCTCTGGTGTTACATTGCATTTATTTGCTTTCACAACTTGTAATACTAATTTGGTACTTCATAATCTTTTATTTCCTTATGGTTAATCTGACTTTGACGCATGATGGACAAAGAGATATGTAGACTACAGGAATACATCCATTTCCTATTATGAGCTGAACGAAAATTGGTACATTTGATCTCTACGTATCATGTAGCGACAGGACCAAATATGATCCAGTGATCTTATTTTATATAATATTTTTCTTGTAATCAGTCAGTATATTTTTTCATGACATAAGGCTAGAAAATGTTATGTTATTCAGTTTTGTTGTTTGTTATTTACCAAAGCTTGCCCCAAAAATTAAATAGAAAGAAAAAGTGAAGGATGATTAAGAAACACATTTTGAATGATTAAGCGAGGTTTTTATTCCACCACCTAGGATTAAGCATACCTTTACAATGCTTTATAAATTCGAAGGCTGGATGTTTAGATTGGCATATGTGAAGGTGAATATGGTGTCTTACATTGGGTGGTAGAAGGGTAGGGTTTTTGTTTCTTCATTAGTTATGAGCATATATAGCTAAGATCACTCTTTGTCAAGTTTGCTAACATGTAAAAATTAATAAGTCAAGTGGGTTTTATAAAATCATCACATTGTGAGGTTATGTACACAGTTGTTTCCATATCTTAATGTGTTCAATATCTCCATGTTGAGCCTTGAAAACAAGAAGTTGAGCACTGTTGGGATTCTATGCTATGTTTGCATATGCATGTGTGTTTTGTAATGAACATCTTGTTCTTTTTTGTGTTTATTTTTTTATTAATTGCACTAATTAGCCTTGATATAGTAATACACTGAAATCAGTTTATTATTATACTCTTAATAAATAGCCTCATTTAAACCCTTTATGAATAATGGAGGCTGGCTATGATATAATGGCATTGATGTTATTTAATAATCTCAGCTTATAATTCTTTTCTTACACAAACCAATGTTAATTCAAATGTGGTTTGATTTCAGTATTATGTCCATGTAAAAACAAACAAATAGTAGATCTCATAAAGAAGTTATGAATTCGTGATGCACGGACAGCTTCAATTTCATAATCCCAAAGGCAAAAATATAAGCCTCGCTATGATATTCTTGAATATGATTTTCTAATTAATAACTTATCAGCCATCATTCTTCTTTTCTACTTTCAGGGATCTGATACTTTGCCGAGGATCCCGGAGACAAACAAAAAAGGATCTGAGGATATATTGCTTGACAAAGTTAGAGCTGGAATCTGCAACTTGACGAAGGAAAAAATCCTTCTAACTGGGACTACACCAACAGCAACCAGTTCTGAAGACTCAAACAACGATCTCTCATACTTCTTCGTAATGATCTGAAAGGCAAAACTATGTAATTAATTTCTGATTTCTCTAGATATTCTACGATCTCTCATACTTCTTCTTTATATTTGTTTTCTGGTCTTTAGAAAGCAAGAAAAGAAAGAGGGTCAAAGAAACTTTGGTTCAATAACAGCCAAGAAAATTCTTCGGAAGGGAATCTCATAGATGAAAAACATGACATCTTGTACATTTGTTATGATATGGAGCCGAAACAAAAGAACAAGTAATCTCTCTCATTGTGTATGGATGTATTGAACTTATCTCTTTATCTTTTTTATGTATTTTAAGAAATATGATTGTTAGAATTTGGGTGTAATCCGAATTCTTTGTTGAAGATGTGAAATCATATTCAAGTTTTCTTGGCAAATTCAAATTGAAGACCTACTTGAAAGCCTATTGAGATTAGGAATTTGTGTTGGACTTGAATAAGATTTTGAAACGAAGAAAAATATCATTGGAAAGAATTTGGGTCGAAGACAAGATACCTAGGCGCCGCAACTGTAAATATTAACAGCAAGTCTTGCGCCACCTATTTTGCTCTTTTTGCTATTTTGGTCTTTGTTTTTAAAATTCTACTTCATCTACAACTCTACTAGAATGATTTGGATGTCCTCTAATTGTTCCCTATATATATAGAGTTGGGTTCTTCATTGTATTTTAGAACAAGTTAGAAGTTGTTAGACAAATCATAAACACATAATCTTTGTATTTTTCTCTATATTATAATAAAATTTCCATTGCAAATTATTTTATTTTTGTGTTCTTGTGATATTTACTTCATATTTGGCTTAATCTTTTATTTTCTCATAACAAACTCATATCGGAGAAATCCAATTTTCATAACAATGATCAAATTAAACAACTTTAAAACTTGTTAGTGGAGTTTCCCCCTTTAATTCTAGCTTTGTTTTTGTCGAGCTGTATGGTGCCTATTCTTTTTTTTTTTCTATGCTACTTAGGATTGTCTCCCATCATTTTGTAATCCTTTGCTTAATTTTCCAGTATTTTTGGCTGTGGCTTCCCTTTTGTTTTTTAGCTTTTCGTTTTTCTTTAGGGACTTGTAGAGTGTCAAAGAGGTGCCTTTACAACTTGATGGTTTCTTTACATTTGGTTTTATGATAGATTGATTACTTTTATGAAAAAGACATAAATGTCCTTGTTACTGTATATACATATATACATAATGCACATGTTAGTTAGACCCACATTGATTAGAAAGTAAAACATTCCTATCAAGTTAAGCTATAAATAAGATGTCTCTCTTAAAAACAAATTACACTATTCAATACAATTCTATTCTCTTTGTATTGTTTTATTTTCTCTCTTAAATTCAACTGGTACCAGAGCTACTATTCTTAGTGGTTTTCGATATATCAAGAGTTGAGTATGCTCTGTGATTGCCACTATTAGTGGATCATTCACATCAGAAAAACTTCTTGTATATCCTTGTCATACTTGTTAGGTAGTCACTATAGTCGGAGTCTTATTCTCCATCGACGTCATCTCAGCCACCACTCCATCAGTTCAGTTTGGTTCCCGTTATTATTATTTTTCTTTGTCCTCCTCTAGTTTCGTTCACATTATGGAGCATCTTGAG